GATCATCAAAGGATATTGCGAATATCTTTAGAATATTTCTATAATGTATTTTAGATATTTGTTGTGTGAGATTACTGAACTGAACTGAAAATGATTCATGTTACCTTTACTTCAGAACTTAAAGGAAAATGTAGTATCTCAATTGTGATAAATCAGCACGATACTGCGAATTACTGTCAATACTAAAATGTCCAATTAATTCGATTGTTAATGTTGGAATTTCATGCCCAAGACTGTTGATTATAAATGACATCGTGGCTCATATATTATCTCCACAATAATGTAAAAGTTTTGTTGTAATCCTACAAGAAACGAATATTCGATCTTTATGATAATTCTCTTATATCGATTTCTTTTAAAAAAATCAATTCCTAAATATCACATGTCAAAAGAAGAAACTTATGAGACAAAGAAATTTTTAGAACTACTTTATAGATATGTAGAGACAATAAATGAATTTGACATAATAAATAAACAATTGATGATATTGAAGGCATTATTGTATACAAAGATAAATATATTATTGCAAAAATGTTATAAATCTTGGTGAAAATAACATAATGATAAAGCATTTTGTTAATTTTCAATTGTTTATGACTTGTTTATTGCTTTCTTTTAGTTACAATTTATGATAATTTTCAATATACAAAAGGCTTCAGAAAGTAATTACAAGTTTGACATGTAAAATTAGTTTACAAACTCAATTATGATAATTTATAATTACTGATCTAATATATATATATATATATATATATTTATATTGATTATTATATTATTTTTTTTTAATTTCTATTTCTTATTATTTGCTGATTTATTGACTCTATTTAAATACATCTTTAGAGAACTAAATATTAATTAATTTTTAAAATTAAATTTAATTAACTTTAATTTATTATTTAATAATGATTTAATTAATAATAATGAATAATGACACACTAATCAATAAGCTATGTGTTTTTTTTTAAAGTTATTAATATTTTTATAAGAATAATATAATGATGTAATAATTTGTATTATTGTAATTAATAAATCAAGATTTTTATTTTTATCTTAAATTTTATTCGCAATTTTATTAAATAAAAATTTAATTATAAAACGATATATTTTAGCTCTCATTTAAAAAATAATCGCAATTCAACTTGCATCGATATTGCACTATTTCGATTATCGATCTTGCGGAATGATGACTATTTCAGTAGAACCAACAGAACGCAGCCAATTTGATTAGGTATCAAATAGAGAATTTCAGAAGATTGAAAAACTTTCTAGAGACTCTATAAATTGTTTAGGCAACCACCAATCAGCGACAGTTTAACTTGTTTGTAAATCGCTCCAAACTTTCCTATTATAGATAGAAGTTATACGATTGGTACCTTGAAGATTTCAAATATCTTTCTTTGAAAACGAGATTTATTGTTTGATGACATACGGTTGATGCATGTGTAGAAGATAACCTTACAGTCGGTCTTTTCACACTTGATTAAATATTATTTATTATTCTACGAAAAACAAAATATAAAATTGAGAAACATGACAACACGAGAAATCTTGACCATTCAATTGGGTCATTATTCAAATTTTATTGGCACGCATTGGTGGAATTTACAGGTGTCAATTAATATATTTTTGTTTTTAACATTTCTCTGCATCTAAAGATTTATTATGATATATCGCAATATATTTATTTCGCAGGAATCTAATTTTACATATGATCCGAAAAATCCGTCCGAAGTGAACCATGATGTGCTGTATAAAGAAGGTGAAAACATGCGAGTAAGTGTAGTTGTAAAAATAAAGATTATTTGTCCTGAAGAAACTCTACACTTTTTTAGAGATAGACAACAAAATGTATATTGGTTTTCTTTCTAAAAGTATATTTAGTAAGAGTTCAAAATTACATTTAAATTAATACAGATTTAAATCTTGATGATTTTACAGCAATAATTTTCTTTATTTTTTTTAAATATATTTAAATATATTTAAATATATTTCTTATATGTACAGTGTAGTCAAAAGATATTTAGTCTGCTACACACAAAATATAAATTTAAAGAAATAAATGGTCGAGTTATTGTACATCATTTTTTCCAAAAGACAATTGTTTTAATTGGAAATAGATTATTTAAATTATTATGTAAAATTGTATATCCAAAAGTATTATTACAGATAATATATTAAAATATAAAACAGTAATTACTGTTATAAAACAGTAAAATTATAAAATAGTACATAAAATTATAAAACAGTATATAAAATTATAAAACAGTACTACTGGACAGTTATATTTCAGAGGCAAGTTATGTTTACACCAAGATTGTTAGTAGCAGATTTAAAAGGAGCATTGGGATATCTGAATGAACGAGGTACTTTATATGATACAGAATCTTCAGATTATCAGCTTCTATGGGATAATACAAAATTAGAAATTACCAATGCTGAACGTAGTTCTAAACCACCTTTTATCCAGAGTTTAAATGAACCCGATAAAGCTGTGGGTCCAGATGCTTATAATTTTGAAAGTGATGTGACATCATGGGTCGACTATATCTTACCATTGTATCATCCCAGAACAGTAACAATTATCAAAGAATATTCACACAATTGTACACAACGACCATTTAATATATTCACATATGGTCGTGATTTATGGAATACAGAACAATTTTCGGGTGATTTTTCGGACAAAATAAGATCTTATGTAGAAGAGTGTGATTTAATGCAAGGATTTCAGGTACACACTTGCATTCAGGTATATATTGCATATTATTTTGTAATATGATATTGCTAATGTAAAATATCATAAAAATAGGTACTTATGGATTGTACTGATGGCTTTGCTGGTCTTGGAACATCTTGCATTCAACATCTGCGCGATGAGTATGGAAAGAGTATTTTGGCATTTCCATGTCTGGACTTCAATAATGCTGAGCCTAGTGCATCCGACTTAGTTAAAGTCGTCAATACGGCATTATGCTGGCAACATGTGGGAGAGCACTCGTCACTTTACAGTCCTCTTTCATGTGGACAAGTTGGTTGGCCATTTGCCTCCGATTCACGCAAATTCGATAACATAACGTACAGTCCAGAATTGAAATATCACAGTAGCGCGATATTAGCAACTGCCTTGGATACGTTAACTTTAAGATACAGAACTAAGAAGTATCCGAGCGCCAGCTTATCTGATTTGTGTGCTGATTTAAACAAGTTAGGTCGTAAAGCTGCGGCAACTAGTCTTAGCTTGCCATTTCCCATGAAGATGAAAATGGATTTAATAGATGTATTGGATGAATTCGAAGGATCTTTATGGACAAGCTTGACACCGAGCTGTGACATCTCGATGGATAATAATATGCAAAGTATAGCGTTACGGGGAATTCCCGAAAATAGAATAAAACGACCTATTCATAAAGCTAGCAAACAGATGTCCAAACCGGCATACAGATGCTCTAGCGTACACGAAATGATGACGCTGTATTTGGCGTGTACATGTCATGCGTCAGCTACATATTTATCCAATATCGAGGCACCGCTGAAAATTTCTTTACCATATCCAAAGATTTTTAATAATAACGTAACTGAGGATGGAAATATCGCGGACTGGCCCATAGGAACTAGTACGTCTTTTATTAACATAAAAAACTAATACAGGAAATAATTCGAGATAGAGCAATAATAATTCAGTTCATTGTTTCTTTCAGATGTAAACTCGGTTGCAGTAATGGCTGGAATGCATAGCGGCAGTCATGTCGCGACAATGTACGAATCTCTGCTTAAACAAACTAAAAGGATAAGAAGTATTAAGAAATTCCATGCCTTTACGGATTCTGGATTGGAAGAAGATGAATTTACGGAATGTGTTCATAATCTGGCTGATTGTAAAGAAGCGTACGAAGATCATTATCTAAGATAATTGTAAATAAAACGTTGGACATAATTTCAATATTTATTGCGATTTATGATTACATTTGTAATATATAAAATTTTTTATAGTTTTACCTTTATAACGCTTATAGATTTAATCTGTATAATAAAGATTAAAATATAACATTCTTATATAATTATATAAATATAATTAATATAATATTAGAGAGAATTTGTGCATATTTGTATTAAAAGAGAAAAATCATTATTGTATAATTAATAAAGTATACAAGTAGGTCGTAAAATACTCGTAAATTTAAGTTCGAAACGTCCCTGATGGTGGGAGTGGCGAGACACACCCTGGTTATTAGATTGCACGATTTCGTATCGAACATCGGGGATGTGAAAACAGTCCTCACTGTTCTTCCGCAAATGTAACAGTTCCTTTCAATTTGGTTGAAAAAATCCTTTAATTTCTATTCAAAATTGATTTTTCTACGCTATTTTTAGAAAAAAATCAATATATGTAGTATAAGAAAATTTTTAAGTGAAAATAATATTCTAGGATCTAACGCTTTATACAATAAATAAAAAAAGAGTTAATAAAAGCGCGATGGGAAATAAAGTGGCGACGTTCACCGAGGAACAACTTGAAGATTATCAGGATTGTACATTTTTCACGCGCAAAGAAATCTTGAGGTAATATCTTCTTTTGCATTATTTCACTTTGTTAAAATGCTTTCTATCTTTTCCAGAATATTTAAAAGATTTCGAGAAATAGGAGATCCTGGAATGGTGCCACGTACTATGACGCAGCAGGAAGCATCATCTTTTCGTTTGCCTCTGTCATATTTAGCTCGCATTCCTGAATTGAAGGTTTATATTTATAAATATATTATTAGTTTGAATTAGTTTGAATACAAAAAAGTTGAGATATAAACTTTTAAAATATATATATATGTTGTAGAAAATTTTATTATTTTATCGATCGATTTCTTTATTTTTTAAAAAAATATAGATATAATTGTACACAATTATTTTAAATTCATGTTAATATTGTTATTTTAAATTAATATATTAATGTATTTTTCTATTTTAAAATGTATTGTTCTATTTTAAAATTAATAAAATTTATCTAAATTTTATATTTAATTGAAAAATATAATACCAGAAAAGAAATAGCTCGCGCTACGCACGTCTGAGATTTACTTTAAATTTTATATATATAATTATATTGAATACATAACGCAATTTGTCAGAAAGCATTATGATATATGTTAAAGATATCTTTGAGACATTTTTTAAATATATTATTTAAGATTTAATTACTTTAATATAGAAATACATATATTAAAATATTTTTATGTATCTCTTAGAACATACTTTTTATATAATTTATTTGTCATGTAGATGAATATATTACTATATTAAATATTACAAGTAAATTTTTTAAAATTTATATCCTATTTAGTCTTATCTATTGTTATATACTTAAACTTATCATATATTTTAAATAAACGATCGTCTTCTTACTTTTTTTATTTTTTTCGAGTTTTCAATAGAGATATTTCTCTCTTTTAGGAAAATCCATTTAGAGAACGGATCTCCGAAGTTTTTACACAACGTCAGGATTCAGGACAATCAACATCTCTCTCCGAAGGAATCTGTTTCGAAGAATTTCTCGAGATGTTATCCGTGTTCTCTGAACAAGCACCGCGAGATTTGAAAGTCTTTTACGCCTTCAAAATTTATGGTATGGACCACCAAGTGAACCAGACGAACGGACAGACGGACGGACGGACGGACGGACAGACGAGCGGATTGTGAGAGAGCCTGGAGGTCGACCTCGCTGTACCAATAGTTGTTCCATGAGATGAGGCGTACATACAGCGCTCAGACACGACATTCATGATGCATGAGAATATTTACACGGAAGAACCGATCGATTTTGCCGCTTTTGATGCAGTCATAATTATACCCTTGTCAAGCGTATTTTTTTTTTCGTCAATCGTATTTTTATCTCGTCACTTGTTGCTCCTAAGTTTTATATTTATAATATTTTTATAATATCTATAATATTTAAAATGAATCTCTTAAATGAGTGAGCATTCTTGATGGAGAGAGGAATTGCCATGAGATCCATTTAGATTTTCTTAAACGGCATTTTCCGATGATCGTTCACGCATCGCTAAATCTTCAATTTGTTTATCAATTTGTAATCTTCCGCGAATAGATTTCGACGAGGACGGGGTGTTGGGCCTGGGTGATTTGGAGCGCACCTGTCGGCAGCTGACTCGAGGTGGGCTAAGTGCCGAAGAGGTGGCTACTGTGTGTCGAAAAATTCTGGAGGAGAGCGACATAGACGGCGATGGAGCTCTGTCTTTTCTTGAGTTCGAGCACGTTGTAACCAGAGCCTCCGATTTTATGGCGACTTTTCATATAAGAATATAAATTGTACAATCACATATAGAAAGTATGTACGATATAATATATGTGTTGAATGAATGAATATTACATTTAATTGTTAATTTCAAATCTTAACAGTAGAATTCATTTTTTATTAATCGTATTATTTATTAATATAATTACGAAATATGTTTGACATGTAATATAAGAGAGAAAAAGAGAAAGAGCAAGATAAATAATAAATTTATATCCCCTCTAAGAAAGAAAAACGGAGAAGTAAGTTTCCACATATAACTTCAAAGTTATAATGATTGATAAATAGAGATCAATATAAAAATGAAGATTAAATAGTAAGCAAAAAACTGATGTGTGATTTGAAAATTATACCGTGCAACAGTTGATTAACAAATACTATGAAATTATGAGCTCGAAAATTATCTCTCTTTCGTTTCATTTCAGTTCACGCTTCGTGCAATGTAATTAATGACCATTTGCTCACTTTTGCTCTACTTTAATGAAGATTACCGACTTTTTAGCCGAGTCTTCCAACACACTGAGTTTATATATCCATAGTCGTAGAGAGGAAGATTAAACAAAGATCGGCCGAAACAGAAAAGATCAGTAAGTCATCAAGAATAATAAAACGTGTCGCGAAGAAACGCGTCGGAGAGAACAATTTCTTGGAACAATTTCTTGATCCGCGACATTCTGAGATCATCGGGTTAATTTAACGTTGTAAACGCGAGATAAATTGACAAGAGGTAATTTGCATAAACGCGTTTGCGAATCCGCAGATCTCGACGGCGCGCCTATGGGCCGCATGCATAACGAAGTTAATATCTTTCGTCATTAGTTGCTCACTGATTGCGGACTCGCGGAAAAAGTATCGCTGCTCAAGCATCGTTGGGTCCTATAAAGTACTCTTAACGCGTCACTTCGCCGACAACACGGGCAGACCGTCGAAGCCTTCCGGGTTGTATTCGACGGATTGTCGCTCCTTCGAGACGCGCGGAAGCGGAATGAAAATGTAATAACTGCGAAACTACTCGGTCGTCGCGAATTGCGATTCTCGGACGCTGTCAGCGACGAGCGATGTTCTTAATGACGATGTTTCCTGCCGACGCGTGATCTGCGAGGTATATAACGATAGACGAAATCGCCCGGGGATCCTTGGGTGAAATACCGCGGATGAGACTTTCGCAAACTCACCGAGGTAATTATTAGCTCGATAGACGTTCGGCTGGGACGCTGGGATGTATCGGGTGTATCAAAAGTCGCGTCTCTCCTCGGTGACGAGGCTTACTTATCGATCTCTTTCCCCGCGAGGGGATTCCGCGGAGGCTCGCTTTTTAATCGCATTCCTCTCGAAAAACCAGTTCGCGGACCTCGAAAACGCGATTGTGCCGCGCCATGACCCGGTGGTGCGCGCAACTTTTGAGACATCCTGTACAGCACTTTGTACGCGTTGCAGATATACCTTCTTGCGCTCTCACATAAGTTGCCCCTGTTGAGCAATAATGAGCGATGGTGGGCAAGTAACCAGGCTATTCATTCTTGCCCCAGACAGGAATCCCTCCCGGCGACGCGGAGGGAGGCTCTCGCGATTTCACGACTACGTTAATTTATACGAGAGACAAGAGAGACATAGGCGTCTCCCCCTTTCTCCCCCCCCCCCTCCGCGAGATCGAGTGGAGGCCGCGGAGGGCGGAAGAGCGCGCGCGTGTGTAACACGTTGCATTTCGTTCTCCATTATTTTCGCGATGTATGCCTGGTTCGCGCGACCGGCAAACCGTGGCGGCGCGTTTACGCAATCGTATCTGCCGATTTCCAAAGGTTATTCGGAGCTGTTCGAATGGCTCGCGTGTAGAATACCGCACGATTCTTGCGCGTCTCGGACGCCCGTGGTCGCGGCGGCGCTCGGCGCTCGAATAATGAAATACCGCGCGTGAGAAGCATAGCGATCTTTTTCGGTTAATTGCGATTAAGTTGTTAATCGATTTTTGCGATGTATCTTACGGGAGAATGAGCCGTGCGAAACATTTCGATTCGGATAATATATATAATTCGCGTGCCGTACGTATGATATAATTAAAACGCAAGTCGCCTCGATGCCATGTATATTTTGTCGTGTAATGCGTTTTGAATAAAAATATTCATAAAATTTTTTGTCCATGGTGAAACCACCATCGTTTGGGCAAAAATAAATCAATTTCCTAACAAAAAAAAAAAAGAAAATGGTAAAGGATTCTATATGCCATTCTGCCATGCCGATGGATTCTGAGCTGCAAGAAGATTTTCGCAAAATCCCATCGTTTCTTCCGCGCGTTTTCAGCCTCCTCGAATGATGAGTTGCGCACGCACACGTGAGCGTCTTGCGTATTCGTCGGCACGTCCTGTCGCCCCTTTGGACTTCCCCTGTCGGACCAGACCCCCCCGGCTCCCTTCGTCTGACCGACCGGGCCCTGGTAGTCCAGGCGAGGCCATGGTCCGGTCGTCTTAAAAAGCGGTCGAAATCGGAGATACCGCCCTGTGGCACAGCCGGTTATAGTCGGCCGCGCGGTAACTAACCGAGTCTCGAGACCAAGGCCATCCGGTTACTTCCCGGCCCCTACTTCGGCGGGCCCCCGCCGTTCCACCGTCCCGCCGTTCCACCGTCCACTCGTCCTCCCGGCGGGTCGCGGAGTGGCCCTCGAGGCCCCGCGAAGGCTTTCTCCCGCTTCCCCCTCGACGCGGATCCTCCGCCGCTCTCCGTTGAGGAAACCCGGCTCTCTCGAGAGGCTTCCCCTTCGCGGGGCCCACAGCCAACCGCCTTCCATGCCGCGGTATCCGAGGTATTCTTGGACCTCCTCGACGCGGCTTGTCGCGACGGGTCCGCGCGGAGGGACCCCGCATAGCCTCCCGCCTCCCCCTTTTTCCCTCCGAGCGGAGGCGAGACGAGACGAGAAGCCGGAGAAGAGGAATGAGAAGGCAAAGATCGCGGGTGGACGGCGACGAAGAGAAGAAAGAAGAGAGATTAAGGAGAAGAAGGAGGAGGAGGATAAGGAGGAGAAGGAGGAGGAAGAGGAGATGAAGAAGAAGAAGAAGAAGCAGAAGAAATGAGCGGTGCCGGGCAACGTAGGTAGAGGGAGGGAGGGAGAGAGGGAGGGAGGGAGAGAGGAAAACACCGGTGGTGAAGCCGGTGGTGGTGCACGATGATGGAGGCGGTTGAGGAGGGCAGATTTGAACTCAACTTTTATGGCGCCCTGGCGTGGGCGAGCTCTCGCGCGCGAGATCTCTGGAACTTTCTTTGGTACCTCAACCCGAAGGTCTAGCGATGACACTAATCGGGTGGAAATTTGGCGGTCACGGAAAGGCGTCCGAGCCGCGTGGGTGGCTCAGTAAATAGATAGATTCGGTGTACCGAATCTGTTGCCGGGCGGCACGGACCTTGAAGATCAGAGGGTGTCGCTCGAGAATTATTAACGTTTTGTTCTCGCGTGACACGGCGACGTTGAGCTTCATCATTTGAGTCTGAGAGATTTTATCCGATCGCCGTGTCGCGCACATTATTTGGAAGCCGGCTACGTATAATTCCAAGTGAATGATGATGCGAGACGATAATGACTCGTTGATGCCGAAAGATTTTATCCGATTGGTAGGCAGCGATCGTACGCTATTACTCGAAGTCAACAATGCGTAAAATTATAATGATATTTTTTTCAGGACAATTAGACAATTTAACTAGTATAGGAAAACCTTGATAAAAAATGAAATCTATCTAGCTATCTAAGTGGAATAAGTTTGTATGTGACTTCGCGACCTTGAGAGGCGTCTTATGTGCAGTCACCGCAGACTATCGTTTCGCGGTAATATTATTCAGAGTTAATATTAATACACGGGGCTCGGAAATAATGGCGCTCTCTCGCGCGAACTAGGCGTGAGACGCGGTCATGTCTCCCGATGGTATCTGCTAATTACGTTAACTGTATTGCCACGTAGTCGCACATTAGTCGCAACCGCTTTACGTCGAATGGTATTATCATTCATGTGCCGTTAAGGGAAACTCATATTAGCGTGAATTTTTACCACGTCAGTCGACATTGTAACGCGAGTTCATCGCGATCGACTGCCCGGCAATAATTATGTAAGCACTCGCATTAGTCGTATATCGTGCGAGCATCATCCGATAATGGCGTTTTATAGTTAATTAAGCTCAATTTGCCATTAGACTCGTCTCAAATTACGGATAAAAAAAAAAATTGTCGGTATGACCATAAGCGAGGTTTCATCAATGTAAATTGTTCATGATAATCCTTAAATTTTTATCCAAAGTATCTGAGGATCTTGAACCTCCCGAAACCGGACCTAGATATCTTCTGCTACTCTTTCTCAATCCTCCTTTTCAGGCTCGCTTCACCTTCTCCTTCATACCGGTCTGCTATTCGTGGAGCCGGTCTTCACACTCAGAATCAGTCATACGTACTGTGGAAAAGTCGGATACATATCCGTTTTAATCTCAGCTGTTGCGAAATACATTCTGGTAGGAAAAACGAGGAGAAAGTGAGGATGAAAAATCATGGGTGCGTTCTACAAAAAAACGTGCAAGGAACGTAATGATAATCTACTCAACACACTTTATTTAAGGGACATTCTACATTATTTTGGGATTTATTGCAATCACTAAAGAAAAACTGAAATATCCAAGATGATCACAACTCTGTTACAAAAAATACACAGATGTTTGTCTGTGTGATATTCTATGATACCTTAAAATATTCAGAAAATATTCAGATAAGCTCAAAATATATTATAATGTAGCATTCAATATTTTATATATTCTATAAGATATACTCAATAAATTTCAACGTGTTAATTTACATTATCAAGTTGCTTCTCGCCCTGAAAAAGTGAATTACAATGTTCACGAAACGTTAGCATTCAACAATATATCATAATACGGATAATATTTGTAAATATATCAATCTTTTTGAAAGTAATAATCATGAAAGCCTCAAAAGCATTATCAAATTTACATGTTAATGAAAGAGCGAGGATATTTTGTAAGAATGTAAAATTTATTACAATAAAAGTACCGGAGGTACTTTATAGAACAATTATTGGCAAGATTCATGATATGACATCGTCT